TTCAGCAAATATATATTAAGCCTATACCATGTGAATAAAATCAGCATGATGCATGCACTTGAAGTTGCAATCTAGTGGGGGTTTATAGACATTCAATAAACAACCTCACAAATAAATATTTAACTAAGAACCATGATAATTTCTAGAAAGGAAAAGAAAAAAAAAGGTGCTCTGTGGGATTTTAATAGAGAGCCTTAATTTTGATTGATAGGCAAGTGAAGGTATCACTGGGAAAATGAACTTTAAGCTAAAAGTGGAAGAATTAACAAGAAAGAGGCAGGCAGCAAGTGAGAGTAAGAAGCAGCAACATGTGTAATGGGCCAGAGGCAGGAAAAAAGCCTGGTAAATTCAAAACACTGAAAAATAAAATATAATGTGGTTGAATTATAATAACCAAGAAGCCAAGCAACAGGAGAGAGAAGTGGGAGAGGTGGTAAATTCTGTTGAGGAGTTTATATTGTAGCCTTAGTGCCATACAAGAGCACTGATGCTTTAAGCAGATAAATGTATGATGCAACACAAATGAACTCAGAAATGCCACATTTGAGGGCTGTGCTAAGACTGACTTGGAGAAAGGCTTTTGCAGGAGTGGGGAAAACAAGCTACAAGTAGATCATAATTGTTAAAGAGAATGATGATGTTGGCTTGGGCTAAGGTGGTAATGGCACAGATGAAGAGTAGATCTGATGTATATTTTAGATGCAATTAGGAAGTAATAATGACCTCTCTTAGATAATTTTCAATGCACTGCTTAAGGCAGAATTCTAATTATTGTTTGTTGAATAGTGTATGAGAGGTAAGGAAGTAGAAAGCAAAAGAAGACTGATCTTTGAAAAAACAGGTGGTAGGAAATAGAGAGCAGCAGCTATCAGGGACCTCAGAGTCAATAAATGATTTTTATTTATCCATCTATGCAGCTATCAATTTATTCAGTTTTAGGCAGTGAGTGACTTAAGTGTTTTTTTTTTTTTCCTGAAAAGAAAGTCAAAGTACAGAATGACAAACTGAAGAGGCATAAAATAATAGAAGTATAAAATAAGCAAGAGATAATAATGCCCAGGGCTACCTGGGTGGCTCAGTTGGTTTAGTATCAGACTCTTGGCGTCTGCTCAGGTCACTGAGCTGTCCATCTGGCTCCCTGCTCAGTGGGGAGTCTGCTTGAGATTCTTTCTCTTCCTCTGCCCCTCCCCACATGCGAGTGCATATTCTCTTTCATAAATAAATAAAATCTTAGAAAAAGAGAGACATAATAATGCCCCAAACAGAGATAAGTAAATTAGCATGTAGTAGAGCATCTCACACACACATGTGCGCGCACACACACACACACAATGGAACAGTATAGCAGTTAAAAGCACTCTTTATCTATTAGAAGAAAACAAAAACACTAATTTGAAAAGACATATATGTACCCCTATGTTCATCACAGCATTATTTATAATATCCAGGATATGGAAGCAACCTAAATGTCTATCAATAAATGAATGAAGGTGTGATATGGTGTGTGTGTGTGTGTGTAATATAGTATTACTCTGAAATCCTATCATTTGCAACAACATGGATGGACCTTGAGTGTATTATACTAAGTGAAATAAGTAAAAAAAAAAAAAAAGGCAAATCCCATATGATTTTACTTACACATGGATTCTAAAAAAAAAAAAAAAATGAATGAACAAACAAAACAATGACAGACTCATACATATAGAGAACAAACTAGTAGTTGCCAAATGGGAGGGCAGTGGAGGGATGAATGAAACAGCTGAAGGAGATTAAGAGGTACAATCTTCCAGTTATAAAATACATAAGACACAGGGATGTAATGTACAGCATAGGGAATATAGTCAGTAATATTGTAATAACTTTGTATAGTGACAGATGGTAACTAGACTTACTGTGGTGTCCATTTTGTAAAGTATATAAATATCAAGTCACTATCTTGTAACCTAAAACTAATATACTACTGTATGTCAATTATTCTTCAATAAAAATAAAATTTTAAAATAAAAAAAGGAATAAAAACACCCTCTATGAAGTCAGACTGCCTGGGTTTGAATTCTGCATCTACTACTTACTTTGAACCTTGGGACAAGGTCCCTAGCCTTCCTTAGACGGGGTTTCCTCATTCATAATACGGAGCTGATAAAAGTGCTAACCTCATAGGGTCGTGAAGAATATGTAAGATGGTGCATGTAAAAATGCTTAACATGGTATCAAATACAGTAACTCTTTAATACATTTTGTGTCTATAAATAATAATACCAACAACAATAATATTAGTCATAATAATAAGGTATCCCTTTTCCTGAGATTTGACAGAGAATAGGTTAATAAAAGGTATGTCTGGAGATAGTCTTGTAGGTAGAAGAGATACTGGAGGTTCTAAAAGCCTAAGTGCTTTCCTTTTTCTCTCGTGAGTAAGAGATTACACTGTTGGTATTAAGTGAAAAGAATGGGGAGGGGAAGGAGAGAAGACTTGAGAAGAGCAGGTAAGAGACAATATAGCTGCTATGGAAAATGAAAGGCTGCTGAAGAGGAACAAGTAAAATAACTGCTGAAATGGCAAAGAGAGTCCCGCTGAGGTAAAAGCTAAAATGTCATAAAGATACCAATTCACTCAGTTCACCAAAGAGAACAGAGAGATAAAAAGCCACAGAGTTAGAGGCACAATGAGCATACTAAGGAGCTCAGGTTTTATTCCATAAATTCCAGGAGACACTGAAGGTTTTCAATATAGAAATCACACGTTGGATATAGATTTTAAGTAGACTACACTAATTGTATTGAGGGGGGAATTAGCAGAAGCGAGACAGCCAGTTTGGAGCCTCTCTCATTACTGCAGATGATTCTACACATTTCTGAAATGTTCTGAAATATAGACTGTTGATAGATTTTGAGGATTAAAAAGTCTTTGAATGTATTCACACTGAAATTAATTTAATTTTAGCACTGACCTAGAGAAATATGTTTTAATATAATTTTTACTTTACAGATCTAAAATATGCTATGTTTAATCTCAGGCTCACACTTGGGTTTAATAATTGCCTTATAATTCAATTCAATAGAATTTATTATCTATTGTATATAAGATATTATTCTAAGCACCCTAATACATTTTCTCTATAAATAATAATGGCAACACAAATAGCAGGTACTTAAAAGACTAGGGCCTATTATTATTTCCAAAATATTTTCCTAGATATGAGATTATCTAAACTTTATTTGGCAAATCCTGATGGATACTACCTTGGGTGATTTACATAGCACAAACTACTTTGTAATGTCCTTGACTTTTTTCCCTACAGACATGTAACTAAGGATGGGGAGAGTTAAATAAGAGGACCAGGTGACTTCATATTCACAGCCCCAGAATTATTTATGGTTATGTGCATAAACAAGAAATCTCTTCCATTTTCTGTTTTGCTTTTAGTTCGGAAGGTATATTGCTTTTTATGTCCCCAAACTTCATTTCCTCACTGTGGCACCAAGAATATTCCTCTTGAAGGATTTGCTTGGCAAACTAATACATCTTCCAAGATAAACTGCATTCAGAAAAAAAAATGACTTCAGAGAAACTGTGTAGTGTACCTACTGTAAAACTCATAACCATCATGACACAGCTGAATTCTCAGATAGTATACAGCCTTGCTTCAATTATGGTATGAATTCAAGCAGCTTAGGTTTCAAATGAGGACTTTGGTCTAGAAAATTTTATTATTTAATATTGCACTAAAACACCACTATTTAATAAATAATATCTAGCCAATTCAACTGAATAATTTGCCTAATTCAAAAAAGAAAAAAATATCTTCCTCAGGTACTTTTACATTAGCTCTACCTCATCCCAAATATACATTCCGGATTTTCTTTTCAAGGATTTGACAGAACCTTCCCATATCAGTATATGCAATGCCATATCTGAGTATTAATAAGCTCTGAATATGGGCAAGCAGCTATTGCACATATTCAAAAGGAATGTTCTCTGTCCCATCTATTACATTTTCATTTTAAACAAGATTTTTAAATTGCAACGTACCAAATCAGATAAATTAAAATATATTACTATTGAAAAGGTAATAAAATATTTGAATGAAACACAGTATTTGACTACTAGTTCTGATGTTAATTTTGAGTCTTCGTATTCAGATGTGAAATTCTTAGGGAGCCAGGGTAAAGTTAGCAGCCATAGTACAGCTGCTCATCCATACACTGAACAAACTTGTATTGAATACCTAAGTTAAAAACAGGTTTTTTTTCCTCCAAGAAATTAAATAAATCACCATCCCTTCTTTCCCATTTTTTTGTCCATTATTTCAATAGCAGTTTTGAGGAATGCTTAAAACATATAACTATATTCTTTAATACATAATTTATATCTAGTCATCTTTTGTACCCCTTAAAATGAAGAGGGGATGAGGAAACATAACTCATTCCAATAACGATTTAATCATACTAAAGTATGATATGCATTTATGAAACACTGAAACAGTGTATTTAAAGTTTTCAATTAATTAATGACACTCTATAGGAAATCTAAAAATTCTTGTGCTTTCTCTGACACAATATGTATATAACAAAAAAGTTTTTTAAAATATTGCTATTTATCTAGTTCCTACTCTTTTATTTAGCCTAAATTGGGGAGGGGACAAATTCTAACAGCAAGATCGAAATAAAAGAAAAAATAGCCAATACAATAATACATACTACTTTTCATATATTAATAGAATTAAATATCTGCACTAGTATGGAGGAGATGCCATGAGATACCCTGAGGTATTCTGCAGAATATAAATCTAAATTTCTTTATTTTTCAAAACCATTACAAATAATAATAAGGTTTTTTTCCTGACAATGTTATAATTAATTATGTAGATATGCAGTTTGAAAAAAAATTATGTAGATACGCAGTTTGAAAAAAATCAACAATTGAAATGTCCTTTTCACTGTTTCTGACAATTATTACATCACAGCTGAGTTTCTGGGCCCTTATGCTAGATACATACCACAACTCCAAATTGCTCAGGCTCACAGAGGTCATCATATTCATTCCTCAGCTGTGCTAATTCACTGAGTACTTTCTGCTCAGGAAGATGTTTTACAAGGTTCTAAAAAGAAATAAAAGTATAAAAGTTTAATATTTTATTATTAGGACTATTAACCCTGCATTAACAACTCTAAAAGTGATTATCTAGGGTAGAAATTTCTGATTGTGATTCTGTTATACCACTAGTGTATACTCCCCTTCTCTCCCAAATAAATAACCAAAAAATGAACTACAATTTAATGTGAATAAATGTACAAATGCATTTGCTTTCCATGCACTGCAGTACATAAATGATAAATAAAAAGATCATATGGAAGTAAATGACACTGAAAAATTACTAACTTTCTGGGCCTTAAACTTATATAGCATAATTTTTAAGCTTTATTTTCTATCAGGAAGTCAATTCATTTGGAAAACATAGAATTAAATTATATGTAATAATAATAATAAAAGTCAACTCTAGTCTTCATAATTGGCAAAATTTGGAATAATCTTTAATCTATAAACCACACAAAGCCTGCAAAAAATCTCCCATTAATTACAATGTATTTAATATACACAATGCATTCCCACTCTAATGGAGAACCAAGCGAAAGTAATGAAGTCTGATACATGTTCAAGTTTGATGCTGAAGAGAATCAAAATTGATTAATTCTTCTCAACCTAGTTTATCTTGGACTATGATACAGTTTTAATTATCATTACATTAGCATGCAACCAACATTTTGGGGACATGTATGGGATTTCAAAAGACATATCAAAGGAAGAAAAGCAGGAAAAAGAGATTTAAGAAAGTAAGGTTGACACAAAATGGCAGAAAAGTACATTCCAGGGATTGGTCCCACCACGAAAGTAATCACTGAGCTAGAAAGAGTAAATAAACTACTTCAAAACACTGAAACCTAATGGGATACTTAAAACAAAGGAAGTGCTTGTTGAAGGGAGACACTGCTGCTCTCTGGTAAGAGAACAACATGCACAAAATGGGTATCAAACCCCATTCCTCAGCACCACTGTGAAGAGGTGCTGGCTGATGCCAGGGTGGGCAGTGGGACTCATGTTATTTGAAATTTGAGGATGTGCATTTTGGTTTTCTGAAGGGCCGGTACAGTGCTTGCCTTGGTTTCAACCCTCTTAGGTTGCAGTAGCTTCCCAAGATGGCATCTATCAGAAGACTTAAATAGACAGAAACACCTCCCCCTGCTTTTTGGAACCAGACGTTTAAGGAAATCTTTGTCAGATTACTGGCTGACAGCAGAGATAATAAAACCCTAAATCCAGTAACCATACACAAGGAAAATACAGCTTGCAACAACTGTTGGGAAAAATTACAAACAAATAGCTACAGCTCTCAGCAAACAAAAATCAGCAGTCAGTGAGGAGTAGAAAAATCCAAATTCCAGAGTTAAAATAGACTCAAATGTCCAGTTCTCAAAAACAACAAAAAATCACAAGGCCTGCAAAAAACAAAACAAAACAACAAAAAAACCCAAACAAACAAACAAAAAAACAGGAAGGCATAAGCTACACAGGAAAAAAAAAAAAAGAATATGACAGAAACTATCCCTGAATAAACTCAGATTTTGGAATTAGTCAAAAACACTAAATCAACTATCTTAAATATGTTCAATGAGCTAAAGGAAACTATGAACAAATACATCAGTTCTGAGCAGGACCTGAAAGAAGTCCACACTGAGATACATTGAATCAAATTGCCAAGAAAGGGAGTGATTTTAAAACAGCAAGAGGAAGTGAATTGTCACATTTAAGGGATCCACAGTAAGACTGATATCTGATTTCTCCAATGTAAGCAAAAAGGTAGTGGGATAACATATTTAAAGTTCTGAAATTTAAAAAAAAAAAACAAAACTCTGAACCAAGAATTCTGTATCCACCAAACTAACCTCTTTTAAACAATGATGGAGAAAGTAGATATTCCCAAATTAACAACAACAACAACAAATATAATTTACTGCTAGCAAACCTGTTCTGTAAGAAATACTAAGAGGTCCTACAGACAGAAATAAAAGGACACTAAACAGTAATTCAAAGACATAAGAAATAATGAACAATTATAAAGGGAATTACATAGATAAATATAAAACCCGATGCTATTGTACTTTTGGTTTATAACTTTTTTCTATGATTTACAAGGCAAATGAGTAACACAATAATTAAAAATCTATGTTAATGATCATACAATGTGCAATGATGCAGTCTGTGACAAAAATAATATAAAAAGGACAAATATGTATAGGAAGAGTGGATGTTATGAAAACTAAGTTTGTATTATTAAAAATGGGTTGTTATAAGTTTAAGATATTAATTATAATCCCTAAAGAAACTAATAAGAAAATAACTGAAAACACAGAAATAAAGATGGGAATCAAAATAGTAGGCTACCAAAAATAAATCAAATATAAAAATGGTAATAGAGAAATTAAGGAACAAAAACATGTAAGAGATACAGAAAACAGCTAACTGGAAGAACTAAGCCCTTCTTTAGGAATAATTACTTTAAATGTATATAAATTAAAATCTCCAATTAAAAGAAAGAGCTTGGAAGATTGGATCTAAAAACAAACATATTTATCTATACACAGTCTACATAAGACTCAGCTTTAGATAAAAAGATACAAAGAGGTTGAAAGCAAAAGAATGGAAAAACATATTCCATGTAAATAGTAACCACATATACACACACATACACAAAAACAAACTGTGGTGGCTATATTATTGTTAGACAAAATAAACTTGAAATAAAAAAAAGTAACAAGAGACAAAGAAGGATATTCTATATTGATAAAATTTTCAATGCCATCAGGAAGATATAATTATAAGCAAATGCCCAACTGAAAGCAGAGCTCAAAAATATATGAAATAAAAATTGACAGAATTGAAGAGAGGAAAAGGCAGTTCTAAAATAATAGGTGGAAGGGCCCATGGCTGGCTCAGTCAGAAGAGCATGTGACTCTTGATCTTGGGGTTGTGAGTTCAAGTCCCATGTGGGGTGTAGAGATTACTTAAATAAACTTAAAAAATAAATAAAATAATAGGTGGAGTATTTTTTTAAGATTTTATTTATCTGCGAGAGAGACAGAGAAAGGGAGAGGCACAGCAGAGGGAGAGGGATAAGCAGACTCTGCGCTGAGTGTAGAGCCTGATGCAGGGCTTGATCACACAACCCTGAGAGATCATGTCCTGAGCCAAAATGAACAGTCGGACACTTAACCATCTAAGCCACCCAGGCGCCCCAATAGGTGGAATATTTGATACTCCACTTTCAATAATGTATAGAATAAGAAAACGGAAGAATAACAAGAAAATAGAGAATTTGGACATCACTATAATCTGATTACCCCGAATATATTTATACAAAACATTCTTCCTAACAACAGCAGAATATACATTCTTCTTAAGTGCACATGGAACATTCTCCAAGATATATCACATATTAGACCAAAAAACAACCCCTAATAAATTTTAACTGACTGAAATCATGCAAAATATCATTTGTGATCACAATGGAAATGTCACTAGAAATAAATAACAAAGGAAAAGGAGAAAATTCACAAATATGCAGAAATAACACACTCTTTAAAAAGCAATGAGTCATAGAAGAAATTACAGGGGAAATTAGAAAATACCTTGATATGAATGAAAATAAAAACACAACATGCTAAAACACGGAATTCAGCAAAAGCAGTGCTAAGAGGAAAATTAAAGCAATAAACATCTACATTAAAAAAGAAGAAAGGTTTCAAATCAATAACCTAATTGTATACCTTAAAGAGCTAGAGGAAAATCATACTTAAACCAAAGCAAGAAGGAAATCTACAAATTAGAACAGAGGTAAAATGTAATTAATTAATTAGAGAACTGGAAAACCAATAGAGTAAAATCAATGATACTGAAAGTTGATTCCAAAATTGACAAATCTTTAGCTACAACAAAAAGAAGACTCTAATAACTAAAATCAGAAATGATAGTTGGGACATTATTACTGATTTTATAGAAATTAAAAAAAGATTATAAGAGGATACTATGAATAATTGTACACTAGCAAATTGGATAACCTAGAAGAAATTGACAAATTCCTAGAAACACACAAACTACAAAAACTGAGTCCAGGGGGAAAAAAAAGAAAATCTGAGTAGACCTATAACAAGTAAGGAGATTGTGTAAGTAACCAAAAACCTCGCAACAAAGAAAAGCCCAGGACCTGAGAGATTCACTGATGAATTCCATCAAATATTTAAATAAAAATTAACACCATTCCTTTTCAAACTCTTCCAAAAAAATTAAGAGAAGGGAACACTTCCTAACTCATTCTACGAAGCCATCATTACCTTGATATCAAAACTGGTCTAAGACACAAGACAACTACTACCTCAGGCCAATATCCCTTAATAAAAACAAGTACACATTAAAAGATACAGTAGGCAACATATAGCATAAGTCCCATGGGAAATTACTGTATCATGTTCTGTACAACTGTACAAGTTTTTTTGTTCTCTCTGCTTATATTTTCCCTCCTTCCAGTTAATTTTGCATTTCCATTAAACTCTAGGCCTGCAATGGCATCCATTGTGTAACTGATGAAACTAAATTTAAAATATCATGCCCTTTCACTTAAAAGAAATATGAATATTGATATAACAACATGTACATATAACCAAATGAAATTAAGAACATCCATTATTTTGCCTCATTAATATAATTTTCTTTTATAAAATGAAAAGGCAAGTAAATACCAATTTATTATTTCCATTTCTCCAGAACAATTTTCAATACATGTAAATTACTCAATTGTTTTTTAAAAATTTTTCTGTTAATGGGATTTTTGGTAAAGTATGTTATTATGAAAAACAACGAATCAGTTTGGGTACTTCAATAATTGTGACTACAAGGCAACTAAGCTAGAAAGATTAAGAACGGTATTAAAATTATTAAAAAATATCAATTCTGCATATTTCAAACTTTTCATCTCAATTTTAACTGTGAAAATAAGTACAATAGTATGAATCAGGACTAAAATAAAATTTCAGCTCAGAATGTGAA